GAGACGGCGATGAAGCCAGTCCATTCTCCAGGCCATCACTCCAGCACGCCCGCTCAGCGGCTGCCGGCGTCGAAATTTCGCTGCAGATTAGCTGTCTGAACATAAAAGTCGGCACTTTACGGACACAAGTACCCGTTTGGAAGCATTACACAATACACAGGTCAGCCAAGTAGCAGATGGCAAGAGAGATGATGGTCTGTGTTGGCGCTTTTAATAACTAAATGCTTTTTTACCAGTCTACATAGAAGGCAAATGAATGAATGTTGTCAAGCCAATGGAAAGTGGTGGCAAAATGTGCCTCACTCAAAGGCCCACCGCATTCCTGGGAACTAAAATATTTATCACAAAAAAAAACACACGCAACGCTGGATATCATTAAGCTTTCTGCGAACAACGCGAAAAAAAAAACGAACAGAAGACACCAGGTCTAAAAACGAGTGGCAGCGAAACATAAATCGGCAAGCATTGAGTGAAAAAAGAAACAAAAGCAGTCTTATACTAATTAATATCGCTAACGGACATTCCCAGCCTAACACACACCACCACAGCCAGTGACCAAATTAGGAACATAATTAAACAAACCGAATATAAAACTGCAAGCTCGGTGTTGTTCCTTTGCACCTCAAGACGCCGTTACAGGCCCGGTTGGCCCAACCAATCGATGTTATTTCCGACAGTGTCGTGATACACGATCATTATGCGAGTATGGATGTTTTGTATGCCTTGTTTCCGTGACAGTCGATTGCACCGTGGGGCGGTCGAGCACTGCTATGGGAACGTTATCGGCTACAACAGGCTGCATGGTTTCGGTGCAAAATCAACGAGGGAGGGAGGGGAAGATGAAGAAGGAGAGAGGAAGTTAGAAAATATGATAAGAGTGAGTGAGTGAGTGAGTGAGTGAGTGAGTGAGTGAGTGAGTGAGTGAGTGAGTGAGTGGGTGAGTGAGTGAGTGAGTGAGTGAGTGAGTGAGTCGTGAATATGAATGAATGAATGAATGAATGAATCAATGAATGAATGAATGAATGAATGAATATGGTTAGTTGGACGTTGACAATGTATACTACATTGTTAGCAACATATTTTAATAAAAAGTACTATTTTCAGACAGTCCATGCCTACCATTTGCAACTTTTACACGACTATCTTCACTATAACAACCATCTTAGACGATAAAACTGCGCCATCAAAAGCATGGTTCAGAATTAAGTAAGGGCTACCGGTATGCAACCATCACATATTTGTTAGGCATGGTATGTGTTCGGATGAAAGAGATGCTCAACATAAAAATAAGAATAGAAAGTGGAAAAGCAAAAATGCGGACCGGTAAATGTCCACAAATCCATTATATGCTTGCAAATGTGCACCCAGCAGCGGTCTTTCAGTCATATACAAGCACACAGCTGTGGGTGAGCCCTTCTTTAGAAGCGGCTCCCGCCAGGTTAACATAAATCGGATTCATATCCAGCCTGGCTTAGCTACCGAAAATATGCCGAACAACAAACCGGGGGCGTTGACACCAGATTGTACCTAATGCTTGGAAACGAACCAGTGCCGTGGATTGCCTACAACCGGTACCGAGCATGAACTCAGCACAAACCCAAGGATAAATTAAAGCGAATTTTCATTTTGCCGCAGTGAATCCCTAAAACCGCCGGGTCATCGTCTGCGGGGGATACTTTGATCCGAGCCGGATTCAGCTTTCTCAGTGACCCCAGTGACCCATATACCAGCATTTTCACACAGTCCACATACAACTCGCTAAGTGGTGACCACGGGTACACCCATTTTTCCAACAGACGGCGGCCGGTAGGCACCCAGCCGGTGTCTGTTCGCTCCCGTGGCCCTGATTGGCAGGCTGATGGTTGCCGGTAACCACCAGCACCATGTGGTGACCGACCGGCGAAGGAACCCCGGCTGACAGACGTAACGGGCCGTCGACATGGGACGGGTCACGCGTACCCGGCCATACTGTGGGCGGTACCGTGCCGCGCAGAGGATTTACTTGACAGTTCAGTGTGATTTCGTGGGATTTTTGAGACACGCATGACGAGATGGACGATGAATGATGACGGAGATACTGGGAGGAGTGAGAGGACAGACAAAGATAGCGCAAAAAATTATCAGAGATTTTCAGACGAACAAACGGAACTATGTCATGGTGCCTGATTCAAACGGCGCAAAAACAGGTCGATCCCACGTTTTCTGTGGGATACAAATCGCAGTTGGGTATATCAGCATATCGGCCGAAACTATTCACTCATCCGTAACGACAAAGAGACGGAACACAAGAGCGGCTCAGACAGGACGTTCGGCCGTCATGATCGACATGGACGTCCGTCCTTCTGACCGACCACGGACAGACAATGGACGTTGGCAGCAGAGCGAGACGGTCAGATGTGCCAAGCGGGTATCGATGAGTGCCCAGGGCAGGCAGGTGTCCCTTGTAAGGTCACCAGCTGCGATTCTGTGTGTGACTCTTCCTCAACAGATGTGGCGAATGTAGAAGTCAGCTATGCTGGCCGTCCAATTTTTATTCTGGACGTTTACAGCAAATATTTAGATTTCGAAACCTCTCAGTAAGGTAACCAAGTACCAACCAATTTGGGATTTCCAAAGCCGACCTGACTGTGATTACAGCATCAGCTTAGTCATCCCATTTTTTCTGAACACAGCCGCATATATAGTCGTGGCATGAGTGTCACTCGGGAGATTCTGACTCGTGCAGATTCCTATCGTCGAGGATCGGTTCCATTCAGTTGGCGTCACGCCTCGGGGGGTGAAGGGCGAAGGAGGTGTCTAGGAAGAGTGACATTCACTCAGCCGCAACCCGCTCACTGAGCTGTCTGGGACACAGCCTCGAACTGTCTGGGAGCCAGACACGTCCCGAGGAGGGTGTGCCTGGGAGGGGAAAGCAACGCTGTCTGACAGGGTGTCAGTCAATCATGGAGTGACGTAAAGGTATGTGACAGCTATGGGAAGAGAGTTTGGGCAGGAGTCAGTGCCTTACTGGCGTGCTTAGAACTGATCATGTAAGTACGTGTCGGAATATGATGCTGCGCAGTTTCAAATGAGCAAGCATGTGCTTGATCAGGAAGGGCAGAAAGGAACGAATCCAAGAGCGGATCAATGATAAGCGCTGGTCGATGCCAGGTCTGGCAATTTTCCTGAATGCAGGATGCATGAATAACTCTTTGAATTGTGTTGTCTTAACAACTGTTGGGAAAGGGACCACCCAGCCCGCTTCCAGCAATCACTACAGCTTTCTGCACAACTGAAAACAGCGCCCGAGACACGCCTTGTTAGGCGGCAGTCCAATTTCGAAGGGGCGGAAACCAGCTCAGTGAACACGGCACAGGCTGGACGAGTGACTGACTTTCCGGTAGCGACGCAAGGAAACAACGGACTCCACTGTTGGGGTAGGCTCACAATGAGCATTTTCCGATGATCACCGGGGTGTCGTGGCGTGCAGCCCGGGTAACAATCGACTTGCGGCGCCAATGTTGTGAATAACTGACTAAGGGGCATCACGACCAAATCACGCCAACGGCCATACGAATGCCACCTATCTAGGGCGCAATACGTAATCCCTGCATCGCCATGTTGTAGCCAAAGTGAGCTGTCGATAAACGTTTCGCTTAACAGGACTTCTTCGTTATTGAATGGCTTCACCATTCAATCGGAAACATCGAGTGAGATTTGAGAGATAAAACTACCTCGCTTATCTTAACAATGTCTCATACTGACTCTGAGTGCCTAACCCTGACGTCCTTGTATGGCAGTCCAGATCTGCCGGCAAAAACTGCCGAGCTGCTATCCTATGCAGAGCGCGTCCGGGCCAGTGAGGTCACCCGATGGTGAGGGCACACCCTTCTTAAACATCCCTGTTCGTAGGGTCAAGACGCAAGCACTCGCTCCGCAGAGCAGTAGACAGGAAGATTCGCTCTCTTGAGACAAATTTTATGTTATAAAAAAAAACTCACCCTAAAAAATCTAATATCTGGGCCACATAGCGCAAAAATGGATTTGGTGCCATTTAATCTTTCCTCTAGATAAGATGCCTGTCACGAAAAAACCTATCTGTGTGAAAAGACGAAAAAACACCCGGATAACAGCCCATTATTGTCGTGGAAGTTCCTGATCACCATGTCATGTAGTGGGGTGGATTATCACCGATTATCTGTTAATCTACCAGCCAAAGTAATGATCGTTGTAATTGTTGCCACAATAACCACTGAACCAGTTAAAAATACTTGTGATACCTCACTGTATCGCTAACATGACCCGCACTAGGCCAAGAGCAAACCAACAGTCACTGCCAGCGGGCTCCCGCACCTGCATCTGACCTCCCACAGTTGCGCCGCGCCGCGCGGACCGATCATCAGATAAGACTGCATGTTTGTGGTCGGTCAATCTCTCAGCCTGCCTGCCCGTATGGGCACAGAGCAGCGAGCCACGCTCCAGCAAACCGACCTTGGCTGGCCTGAGACCGGCTCGGCGGGGCGGGCGGGGCAGAGAGGGGCGGGGCGCGGCGCGGGGAGAGCGGGGTCAAAGGTGACGCCCAACACCGTGCCGCGGGCGGGAAGCCGAGACCCCGACGGACCTCGCGGCAGGAGAGAACTATGCTGACTGGTTTCCGGCCAACGAGGGAAAGTGAAGACAAATGTCGAAGCGGCCCGGCACGGGTCAACCGGGCCGCCACCCCGGTCACGCTTGCAACAGCGCTGGCGGTGATTACTTGTTTCGAATTTGTTGTCATGCAGCTTTCAAACGAGCGGGCGTATTCCAGCAGCCGACGCCTAAGTTAATGTCAACTCAAAGCGGAATAAGCTGTGTTTCCACATCAAAACATGACCGTTTGCCCCGTGCTCGCCTGACGCAAGGCATGCTGAGCGGGCGTGTTTGCGTTGGATACGGTGAAATGAGCTGCAGACATTCCTCGGGCATTTCACACCTGTTCCTACCCTGATGAAGGGCCCACCCACGCCTCCCCGAGTACTTACTTGTCGTCGCGGACGTCGGGCAGCGTGCGGTGTGGCGAGATCATGTCGCTGACGTACTGGTTGAAGGCGTTATCCTTCCAGCCCTTATCCACCAGCTTCTGCTGCTCGGCCGTCAGGTTCTTGGGCAGCACGACCGGCTTGCCCTGCTCTCCGGGGCCGTCGGGCGCCTGCGGAGGTAGCAGGAAGCCGCGCTGCTCGCCGGCGTGTGGACCGTCGGACGCCGGGGGAGGGGCAGCAGCCGCTTCCGCAGCCCTCCAGGGCACGTTTTCGGCCACCCGGCTGCGGACCAGACGGCGCGACGGGCCGAGCACGCTCTCAATCTCTTCCCTGGCGCTGCGGATCGGCGGCGGGTGGTGCACCGCGGCAGCGGCAGGTGGAGAGTCGTCCAGCCGCGCGTCCCGGCGCTCCACCATGAGGACCAGCAGCACGACCACCCAGGCCACCGGCACGGCCACCAGCAGCTTGGTGACGAACGAGCGCCGCCGACACACCGCCATCACTGGGTCCACGGGGGTCCACGGGGGTCACTGGGTTCCACACCAGTCAGCAGTCACTCGCACTGGCCCTCGGCGCCCCGGGCGGTGCTAGGGTAGGTTGGTCCGTGCCGCTGGCAGGCTGGTCGAACGATGCTGACGCCGTCACGGAAAGCAGGCCGATGTGAATAAGCTGAAATGAACGACGAAGAGAACGATCGTCAGATGCACGCTAGACGAAAGGTCTTTACCGTTTAGCTATTCCCGGTAAGCGCTATAAAATTTCGGTTCGGTCAAGTGTTGTTGATTAAATCAATGATTATCGTAAAAAGCAGGCACAGCGTCATACACAAATGTGATTTATGGATGTTGTAAAGCATCGATCAAGCGAGCCAATCAATGGGAAAGGGTTGCCATCACAACAGGTCATCTTTTCTTACGAGCCGCATTCAGTAAAATTGAGTTTGGTAGTGTACCCAAGATCCCAAGATCATGCGAAAGAGTTGCACGTCTTTTAATAAATGCCTTATACTTGTTATGCAAGCAAAAAAAAAAAAAAAGATTGAATATTATCAAATACTTTTATTTTTTATTGAAGTTAATGATGCAAGCAGACAAATAGCTTTCTATTGGTATACAGATCGAACAGAGACGTGAGGAGATCAAAGAGATCGAATGTGCTAAAAAGCAATGTTCTGCAGCCGGTAATCTGTTTCTTACCATCAATAGCCAGAGCCGACAAGGCAATCAATTTCGTCTATAGGATTTGTACAATCGGTTAGTCGGTGTTTCTATTGGCAATGACAGTGCTGAGCAATGAGCATAATCGACAACACCGATGGCTTTGTTCTCTGAAAATAATACCAAGTTCATGCCAATCTAGAAAAAAAAAGAGAAAAAGAAAAGAGAAAAAATGAAAAAAAATCTGCCAATCTCCCACACCAATCAATCATCATGCTCCCTCAGCCCACAGCCCATACAGTTTGGGTGCCCGACGCCCACAGCACTCCCGGTCATGGCACTCAGCCCGCAGTGCCGGCGCCCGTGCACGGGCCGTGCCGGTCGGACGGGTGCCGCGCGCCGCACCCGGGCCGCAGCCAGGGTCAAGGTCACGCCAGGCGCGCGCGCTGCCGACCGCGCAGGGGCACCCGGGACGGTGACCTTCGCGAGAGAGGGTTTGGCAAAGACAAGTGTTCTTTTAGGTGACTCATTTGCATATAAATTATGTATGCTTTTTAGCATTATTTTACGTAGGTACCACATTCCATGCATTACGTAACATTCACGAGCACTTGGATTATGATATTAAATCTGATGTCATTGTTTTCTTCCGCATTGCTAGTTATCCATTAAAGAACACAAGAAAACGTGTGGCTTCCAAAAACTCACTGTCAAACTTTGAACTGCATACACATCTGCCACTTCAAGCGATAATTTCGTAGCACATCGCGACCAAAACCAACCATCCCGATCCATATACGTAAAAGAACACCCAAACGGCCATCACCCCCGGGCATTGGTCCACGCCTCTTGGCCCAGCTACGCGGCAGCAGAAGTCAGAACAGGCTCTGTAGCCGTCCCAAGTCTCTCCGCGTCTCCGCCGGCCGGCCGGGCGTTCCGGAGCCGGCTGACGACGGCGCTCCACCAGCAGAGGCGGTCCAGGGTTGTTGAACCGGCCCCGGGCGGCTGCCGACTCCGGCCCGGCGAACGTCCCGGGACGGCACACATGGCGGCATATGGTGGCCGGGGCGGCACGGGGATGGCTCAGGGCGGCAGGAGCGGCATATGGTGGCCGGGGCGGCACGGGGATGGGCGGCGTATGGGAGACACAGGACTGGCCCAGGGCGGCAGTGGCACGGAAATGGCTCAGGGAGACAGGGGCGGCATACGGTGGCCGGGGCGGCACGGGGATGGGCGGCGTATGGGAGACACAGGAATGGCTCAGGCCTGTCCAAATGTATCGAATGTCAATCCCTGTGTTTTTGTGGTATTCGTATATCCGCAAATCGATTATACATATTACATGGGGTCATAAACAAACATCGAGCGACTATTCGTAATGGTGGTACAGTAATTAATGTTCAATAATTGCAGTGTTTTGCAGCCCTATACTGCTGTGGTATTTCATCCATCAAATAAGAAATAATTCGAGGCCTGTGACACTCTTTCGTACCAAGTCAAATACTGATAAAATCAACGATAGATATTCTGAGTTATATGAAAGGCATGTCTTTCACATTGCAATGTGATAGGTATTGCATACCTAGATTCAGTGAAAGATGAGGTACGTAAAAAAAAAACTGAAAATGCCATATATCTATATGTGCCATATATGCTGAAGCGTTAGGTTAGGTAGGTACAAAATTTTCAGCTTGTTACGTACGACACCTAAAGCACAATTTCACCAGACACAAAAGCGAATTTAATGCCTCAATTTATATATTGAAAAACGGTAAGAAGGTGCACATTGTTAGGTGTCGCTCGTAAATCACCTAAATGTTCCAACACAAGGTCATGAGTCGAAAATCGATTACGTTTTGGCCTCTGCGGTTCTGATGTAAAATCCATAAAGTTATATACCTTACAGCGTGTTTTATCACACTCACTTTAAATCAGCATTTCCGAATGAAGGACTGCATTTTAAAATCTCCATGCCTATCCATTATTTATAATTACGCCTAAACATGTTTAGGAACCAGAAGGCCGCGATACCTACCTACCCATTGCTGTTCGCACACAGTGAGCGATCCAGCACACATCCGGCCAACACCAGCCCAGCACCGGACACCACTGGCACCTCTATCTCTGTCACCGTCTTCAACCCGCCGCCGTCAGACGGCTGACCGGTACAGCACGCTCGTCAGACGGATGCGGCGCGGCGGCGCGCCAGAACCGTCGCGCGCGCGCCACTGTCGTCGACGGGTCATCCATCACTGCGGCGGCCGCCGGCGCGCTGCAGCCCGCCATCGATTGTGGCGATTGTTTGCGTGACCGGTGCCATACAAATCTGGGCACGGAGTGGGGGAGTCGGCCCATCACTGTACTCGATACCCGTGGGGGTGTCGCCGTCTGTCGCGTACATACACCCAGACAAACAAGTTCACACGGTGTGTCGTGATGTCGTCGATCTGCCCTCCCCCCCCCCCCCCCTACAAGACCATAACCACGGTGTCTTTGCCCCGCCCCCTGGCAATGTTGAATGAACGCGGAGAGCAACATCCGGTCACATGACCAGCGATGTTGGGTGTAGCTTAGCGAGAGCAGTTACTCTTCGGAGACGACCTGACGGCTGTGGAGATCACAGATATCTTACATGGTGAAGAGAGTCATGTCGTGACCCAGCAGTGATCGGACTGTACGACGGTCGCAAAGATCCAAAGATAGGAGATGAGGAGATATAGCGGATTTGATCGAACTGTCCGACAATCTAATCGGATCTTCATGTGGTCATCATGTTAGTTGGTCATACGGACATACGTGCAGTCAGTCAGACCCGTAAGACCACCGCACTGGAAAAGATGGACACAGGACCGGCACAGACCCGGACTTAATGGGTTGCCCGCTCTCTCATTAACCACCAATCGGCAACCGGCCAGTTCCGGTTGGGAAGTGCACCCGTCCGGCCACCTTTTCACTGTGGTATACGGATGGGGATTGACCGGCTGCCGGGGTCGCGACCCTACCGGTCCACAGCTTTCGAGTTGTATGGTTGGTGGAGACGGTGAACAGTTGGCAGGGCCAGGTGCCAGGGGGTGACGCGAGTACAAGTTACATTTTTGTAGGTATAGTCATATTGTGCGATGATGAATAAAGCCGTCAACGCGTGGATAAATTTCTTTTTTTAACCAAAAAACGTCGTGAAAATTTGTTCAATGATGGTTGGGTTAATCTAGATTGGACCGTAGACGGGATTTACGCCATAACCCTCACGCTTGGGACCCTCCCACCTTCAAAAAACTTAACGACCCGGCATAAAAGTGATGTACCGTAGTTCCGGAAGAGCAAAAATTAGTATCTTCCAAATTTCACCAAAAATTTTAGCCTGCAGTTTTTGACTTTTGAGATATTACTTTTACTTTTGTCTATTCCTATAACTGTTCCTATAACGCTGTTCCTATATAAAGATTATATATATATAGATAGATAGATCTATAAAGATTCTTAAAATGTGGTATCTTAACCCGCGCCGCGGGCCGAGGGGTGTTTTGAACAGCCCCCCCCCCTGCGGTTTTTCGCAGATATCTCAAAAACGGCGGCCAGCATCTTTTCCGCACATGTTGTGAAAATTTCAGACCCAGGACTCTCAAGGTCAGGTCACCAGGTCAGGTCAAGTGACCTCACCTCAGAAAGTTTCAATCCTCGTCATAGCTACACCGACTGAACGATCGACTTGAAACTTTCAGCGATTGATAAGAATAACAGTATGCACAAAATGTATATCTCGGAATTTTGATATCGGTGACCTAAGGTCAGGTCAATTTTGCGACCTCTCCAGTCTCCATTAAAGGAAGACTGCCACCTTCAAAAAGTTTTCTCAGATTGGCCTATGATTTATTCCCTGGACAAAACAAAATTTTAGAATTCACCTGACAAAGTATCATCACGTGAATCGCGAAAAAAATTGTTGATTATCATACAATTATCAATCGGTTAATGTCTAGCGACAATGTTTACACATCACTAGACTTCAAGGTCATAAGATTATTACATTTTATTTGAAAAAGTAAGGTATTTTATGATTTACTACTATATGATTTCATAAGAAATTGGCCATGTTTAATTTATTTTGCATTTAAGTTCGTAAAACATTTAAAAATCATGGCTCATTTGGAATGGGTCTGCCGCCCATGTTAAACCCCATTTCCCACACTTTTTTGGAAAAAATGAACTACTGAATATATAGGTTTAACTTTTATTTTGACACTTCAAAATTCTTCTCTGATCTCGAAACAATCAAAGTTTTGACATATATTTACCAAAAGATAAGAAAATTCGTGTTTCAAATTTATCGATAAACAGTAGAGATGTCGGTTTTCTTGGACTAAAAAAATGGCATCAAACTGAACTTTGGTCTCCGATTTCTCGCAAACGGGTTCGAATTTCGGAAAACCGACTTCAGTCTGGGACATAGGTGGCTCAGCTCTAGTGAAAACCGTTTTGTGGAAAAAAGGTGGCAGTCTACCTTTAAAAGTCAATGGGAGAAAATTGAAATGCGCCTCTTTTGGACGAATGATGTTCAAAACCCTCTCAAACATCGTTTCATAGGTAAACATAACACACTGAATCGGAAAAATGCACCTGTGACCCCTCTGTGTGCCGAGCATGCCTCGAATATCATGCGAGATGCCCGCAAAATGTGGGTTTTCGCCTTATTTTTGCCTTTGGTGCATCACGTGATCAGTTTTCACCTTCATAATGGTGTTGGATAAACGCTCCTGTTCCGACGATTGAGTGTTTTGCGTATACCTAGGTTGCCTTTTTGGAATCATATTTCAACTTTAAAGGCGTCGCATTTTTTGCCATTTTTATTATGGGAAAACCCATAGACTTATTAGCGACCCTTCCCGGTCGCTAATCGGGACGAGTTCCCTATTAGCGGTTTTTGCAAGGGTTTGCTCAAATGCTGTGGCTCAGTGCAAATAAATTAATGGATATTGGGGCAGAAAATGAATGGATTTTAATAAAAAAACGACCGATCTCTCCGAAAATCAAGCCAGTAGTACGTACAGCGGCACCCATAGAGCGTGAGCAAAGACGGTTCAAATTAAGGGGGTCGCTAATTAGGCACCTTACACCCTATTCGGACTATTGGGGGGGGGGACTGTACCCCCCAGGTAAATTATTGAGGGGTCCGGACCCCGCGTACCCCCCTGTGGCGGAGCCCCTGGATGGTCATAGCGATAGCAGCAAATGATTGAAGTTCAAATGTATAAGACCTTTGATCAGCCCGGGAACCAAGAGATCGGGTCCATAACGGCTTTGAAAGCCTTCCGAAAGTCCAAACCAAGGAGATTGATCCTGAAAGCTTAGCAAGCAAGCATTTCACAAGCGATTCAGCACACTTACGAGCAGCAACTCACCTGTATCTGTTACGTCCGGTCCGCCGACCACCAACTGGCTGCTGAACTTAGCGAGCGGAGCGCCGCAGCGTTCGACGCGGCCCACACCCCACCAAGTCCGACGGCGACTGGCGAGTGGCGGCCCCGGCGAGCCGGGCGATAGCGCGCGGTGCCGCCGCGTGCCGCGCGCCCCCGGCGACAGGCGTGAGTAGAGCGGCCGGATTCGTAAAAAAATCAAGTCCGGAGTGTCACACAACCGCGCGCATTTGAGGACGAAATGGCGGATGCAACGGGACCCGGAGGCATAAATCGATATTGATTGAGGTATGTAGAACTTCACTATTCGAGTGAGAATGTAGGAAACAGCTATATTAAATAGAAAATGGCGCCCACGCCGGTTCCGTAGTCCCTGTGGCGCTCCGTGGCGCTGGATCGTGTTGCTTCGAGTGGAGATGCCGCCAGCCAATCACGTTGCTTCGATTGGAATAGCGGCAGCCAATCACGTGCAAGCATTGAGTGGAGTCTCCTGGTAGAAAAAATGCTCTACCGTTTCCGGGGCGTATTCGCCCAATACGTACACTGAGCTGAGAAGACCGCCAGGCTCTTCGGATACCGGTAGAGCCTGGAGTGGGCACTCGCTGCTTATTTCAGTATGGCCTTGATTTCAGTGACGTTTGACAAAACTGGGTTGAGATAGTTATGTTTAACGAGAAGTTTTAAGCATTGAAACTATTATTTACAAATAGTACATACCTATAAATTTATAATAACGGACACAAGTGTGGGAAAGTTCACATCTTTATTGAATATAGAGGCGCAAACGTCACAGTCCTCGTTCAGCGTCCAATTAATTTTGTGCGTTAGGAGACCCAAGGCTGAGTAACAAACTCCGTAAGGTTTTGTTTTCATTTGGTTTTATAATTATGTTTTTTGCATTATCGAAGCACAGTTCGGTGAAATTCGTTTTTATTTAGTTGGTCAGGTAGGTATGGCATTGACCGACCCACCTTGCCTGGAAATGCCCTATTAATGTTCATAGTTAGCATAATAAAGGTGAGACCAAGCCGTGAATATCAATATCCTCTCCGATGCACCCTCATTTTTATTACCTATATTTCACTGAGTTCAATGCAAATATATTGGAAGAAAATCGTTCATATTTATGTTTCCTCTCGTTTCATAAGGCGTTCATATTTGTTTCCTTTTGTTACATAACAATAAGGTATTACACAGTGGCTATTTATTTAGAAAAGAATGTAATTCTTTAACAGCTAAGTCCAGGTCTTGTGCATTCTGGGCCCTGTTTCATGGGCCCTAGCAGCGCTTTTTGCGAGCTGACGTCAAATGGTCACGTGGGTGACACTAAGGACGGGTTGTGTCATCCGTGAGCTTCTTCATAGCTGCGAATGGAACAGAGTTGCTGTCGCCTTGAATGCAAATGTATCGGCAACTCTGTTCCATTCGCAGCTATGAAGGAGCTGACGGATGACACAAACCGCCCTTAGTGTCACGTGACCATATGACGTCAGCTCGTGAAAAGCGTTTGCAGCGCGTTGCTAGCGCCCGTGAAACAGGGCCTTTGTAGAAGTGTTGGCTGGTATTCTTATTGGTACATTTTTTCATCAAAATACATTTTGCATTCAGAATTGAAATTTTCATGTTTCATCTTTTGCTTTACATCATCAGTTTGGCAAGTGCAAATCAACATAGATAATATAGCTACGTCTGGGCCCTGTTTCACTGGTGATAGCAGCACGGCTGACGTCATGTCATGACGCCATACTGTTGACGTGATGGGCAGTTCTGGCGTACGAATGCCGCGACCTTGGCCACGGCATTAAGTGACGTGTGTGCTTAAAAGTAAGAGTTTACACAGTCATGATAGTATATTTATTTGTAACATATATTTTTTAATATGATGTATTTAAAAGAAGTTGGGTTTAAGGAAAATTTGGACTTAAACTTCGACCATTTAGTTGATGACGTAAAACAATATTGCGGCAATCGTGCGCCAGAATTGCCCCTTACGTCAGCAGTACGACGTCATCACATTACGTCAGCTCGCGCAATTTGATAGCAGCGTGCTGCTATCACCGGTGAAACAGGGCCCTGATCTTATATGGCTCAAAGATGTTTATAGGTATTGGTACCTATTTTGCTGTTAATGCCAACCAAAGAAATCCTGGATTTTATCATACAAATTGTGTCAGGCATTACACATTAACATGTTATTTACATATTTAAACTTTGTACTGTAAAACAGGGCTGCTTTAAAACCAGGGGTATTGACAGGCCAGGATAACTTTGATTCATGAGCACTTCTGAAAGTAACCCCACCCGGAGCTTCTTTGCTTTTGGCTTAGGTATATCTCAGGTTCCAGCTTAGGCAGTAGGCACTTATTATGTACCCTGCACTAAAGCATAGGTACCTAATTGGTTGGCATTTGAGCAAAATATCTTAAGCCATTTTAAAGTTCTGACCCAAAAGCCTTGAAATTTGTTAAAAGTCACTGTTTTATGATCAACTGTTGTTTATGAAAAGTTCATTTTGAGCAGCATATATTCATTCCACTTGGGCGCTCTGACACATTCTCAGGATTGGGGGGTTGGATCCGTAAATGCATCACTACCTATTGGTTGGCATTGCAGAAGCAAAATTATTGGGTGGCTTTAACCCCTGCAACTCCTCCCCCCCCCCCCATTGACAGAGCCCATGATTACGTTTTCCAGTCAGCATGTCCTTGATCTTGCAACTTGTAAATGTCTCATTTGTGTTGATTTAATTTCTTTATTAAATGCTATGTAAAACAAGCAAACATTTTGCAATGAAACACAACACATCAAATGCAATGAATGGTGGGGTTAAGATGAAAATTACTGTAACACTAAAGCACCAGATTTTTCCAAGATTAAATTTGCTCTTTTCCATGTTTTTCAATACTTGGGATCCCAAAAATAATGTTAATAAGTGCAGCAAACAGACATGTGCATGTATCCGAGTAATGGATCTATGATCTCAGTGGATGTCGAAGCAAAGTACAGGTTGGGATCTATGATCCCACCGGATCCGGTGTGAAAAATACATCTTGAATCTATGACATATGATCTGACGATAAATTAAGAACATGGATCTATGATCTGAGTGGATCCCACCATGTACCACATTTGAAACCATGTTTTAATGGGTTTCTATGCCAATAAGTGACACAAAACTGTGGATTATGACGTGCGATCACATAAAATCACTAAAACAGAACGTTTGTGAGTTGAAACTTGAAACAAGTTTTTTATATATGTTTTAACAAAAAAATAAGTGAGGATCTATGATCTCACTGGATCTCAAGCAAAAAATGAGACTCGGATCTGTGATCCCCATGGATCTCTCGATAAATTACAGAGCTGGATCTATGGTCCCGACGGATCCGAGATCAGTATTCGGGGGATCAGATCCCAGATCCATTTTCTCGGATCCATGCACATGTCTGGCAGCAAATAGGTATCATTATAATTCATTGAAGTGAAGTTACCTGACCTTGCCTAGCAAATCTGAGTAAGCTCAGCCTAATCCAACCTAACCTAACTTAACCAAACTTACCCTGACCAAGCCTGACAACCCAACCCTACACCCACCCAAAACCTAACACCTCACCTACCTTTGCATAAGCCCAGGATGGGTTGGGTCTGATGAGTTAGGGTTGGGTGACCTCCCCTCAATGGATTATCATGATACTCCTTGCACTAATGAGTATCATTCTTGGATTCAGGATATTGAAAAACATCAGATCAGATCAGATTTTTCTCGGGGTGTTGCCTTTGCAACGCCACCCCTTCCGTATTATCTTCGTCTGATATTCTATCGATTCTTGTGATCTTCCTCTTTGGCGTTCATTTGCTATTTCTATATCTCCATAATTGATATAAGTTGTTCTTTTTTTCCTCCATTGACTGGTAGCAGTCATTTTCAAAAATGACTGCCTGGAAAGCTTCATGAAAGAAACATGGAAAGCTTCAAAGCAGCGATATTTACCCTTTGAAAACCATGTGGACATCAGCTTCAGTCATACAAAAATAACCTTAAATTAATCCGCGCCGGGCCGGGGGTTGGGTGTTACCCTCTTGCGGTTTTTCGCAGATATATCGAAAGCGGCGGCGCTGCGCCGCCATTTTTGGTACACCTGTTCATGCATCTTTTCCGCACATGTGAAAATTTCAGACCCAGGTAACTCAAGCACCTCAGAAAAGTTAGAATCCTCGTCATATCTGTAACGACCAAACGATCACCTTGAAACTTTCAGCGATTGATAATAGTAACAGTGTATACAAAATGCATATCTCGGAATTTTGATATTGGTGACCTAAGGTCAGGCCAATTTTGCGACCTCTCCATTTCAGGTAAGTTAATGGGAGATAATTGAAAGGCGCCTTTTTTGGACGAACGTCATTCCAAACATTCTCAAACATCGTGTTACCGGTAAACTCGACAAGCTGAACCGAAAAATGGCACCTGTGACCCCTCCTTTTGACCCAGAGGTCATATCAGGTCATATCAGGCCCCCAGGAGTTTTCTCTGACAATAACTTTTGATAGAGACAGCTAGAGCGATGAGAACACCTCAGATGTGTTAAGCTCGACGATACGGATCGACTGATATGCAACATGACCTTTTCCGGTCAGGCCATGACTTTGACCTGAGGTCACATTTTCAAAATGACCTTACAAGGTTAAATTATAATTCTTTCGACGCGTCTCGACGAGGGGAACACGATGCGCTGGCAAATTAAATGTCGTCTTTTCCCTGAGTCAAAAGTTATTGCAGAAAAATGTTTTTCATAAAACCGCCATTTTTGGAGTTCTTGCCCTCTGGAGGCTAAACCGTTGACCTGAGGTCAAATCTGAGGACATTATTGCGAAATCGCGTTAAAAGAGCTATCGAATGCGCTTTTCCGAGGTCAAATCTGGGGACATTATGGCAAAATAGCATTAAAAGAGCTATCGAATGCGCTTTTCCGCGCCGCTGTAGCTCTATCGGTTCCCAAGTTAGCCGCTGGCAGTTTCCAAAATTGTTGAAATGGACAAAATGTTACCTTTGATGGCCTCTGGCGACCTGGGCCCTGTTTCGCCGGTGACGTAATGGTTTCGCGCGAGCTGACGTAATGTGATGAGGTCACACTACTGACGTTTCGTGTAATCCGTGAGCTGCGTTTGGAACAGAGTTGCTGTCTCGTTGAATGCGTTTGATAACATTTGTCTGATCGCACGGCCGTAAAGATGTTAGCAGCAATATTTGATGACATCACACAGATTGACGGCGTCATGGTTTGTTGATGTTTCCATGGAAACCCAATTTGACACGTGTGATAGCAGCGTGCTGCTATCACCGGTGAAACAGGGCCCCGAGCTTTGACCTGATCTAAAAATGACCGAAGTGTTATTTTTGGCGTTC